GAACCCATGGCCTTGGTGTTATCAGCACCACACTCTCCTGAGTGAGCCACAGGCCAGCCCTAAATATGTTTTCTAAGTGCCAGAAATTGGTCTAAGTGCTTCACATGCACCAACACATTCCATCCTTATACCAACCTTTGAGGTACATACCATTATTATCCCCCCTCTACAGATGAAGAAACTGTGGCGCAGGGAGGTTAGGTAATTTGTTCAGACAGCTGGTGAATTGAGAGACAGGATTTGAACCTAGGAAGTCTGGCTCCAGACCCTGTCTTCATAATCACATTATACTGCTTCCGTATAGTAACTCCCAAACTCTGCACACAGTGATAATGAATTCACTGTTACCCAACCAGCTTCTCTCCCCTGGGGATGCAGTGGAGAAATTGAATGCCTCCAGATTGGAAAATGGGAGCTTAATGACAAGAAGTATACTGTGGGGTGGGGATATCTAGCAAGTCCAGAGCTGAAGACCACATCCATAGCCAATCCACCCTGCATAAGCTTCAACCACATTTCCTCAAGGTTTGTGAAACAAGATCTCCTCACTGATTTTTGACAACCTACTGAAGCTGTAGTAGACAAATGTATAATCAAATCAAGGCAGAAATTGAATAGGAATACCTAGATTCAAGTCCTAATGCCCCTGCTTGCCAGTTGACCTTTCATAAACACTTAGCCTCTCTGAGCCTTAGTCTCCACCCACCCCCACCCTGTACCTTTAAACCAGGGATGACAAATATCCCTGTCATACTATCCTCACAGGTTTGTGTTAAGTGAGAATAGGTATGTGAGAGTGCTTATTCTCAAACAGCAGGTGCAAGACTTCAGTGAGGTCTGTAGAGGAGGATCTGCAAAAGCCCTGGCAAGGAGCCAGGACATCTGGGAACCCACCTGGTTCTGCACTAGCTTGCTTTGTGACCATGGGCAAGCCCTTCTTTTCACTAGGGTTTAGTTTCCCAACTCATGAAACTGAACTAGGCCAGTGGTTTTCCAACTTTCTTTTAGCCAAAGAACTTTTTCTTCAAATCAAATCCTATACAGAAGCCCAACATATGAAATAGAGAAATGCAAACCAGCAGCCTAT